CTGTCGAGACGGAATTGGGATTCGCGGGTGGTAACGGTTGAGGTGGTGGATGGCGAGGAATCAGGGCCGGATGCCTCAGGGTGACTCCATCTTGAATGATTTGTAGCGGCGTCCCGGGATTGAGTTTTATCTGAAACTCGACAAGGTTAGCGTATCGTGGTTCCACGAGAGACGGGATAGTGCATTGCGAGAGTCGATGTTCGAACCTGATGATTGATCTGTCCACCCGTGAGATAGGGATGCTGCGGGAGGGGGGGACCGGTCACCGGAGGGCGCGTAGGTCTGGGCGTGTTATTTTCGGTGTCGTGCTCGTAGTGATGGGCATGATGGTGTTTGTGATCTTTGTGGGCTTTCCCCGCTGACAGGGCTACCTCGTAAAGTTGCACCATGGTCACCTCTCCTAAATATCCACCTGATCCTAGGGAATAATAACTTTTTTAATAACGATGAAATGATAGAATAGTGTAGTGATGGCAGTGGTTCTCAATCTATAAATTATGAAAATATTTGGATTATCGTTCCAATTAATGATCTTTGGCGTTTATTTATTTTGATATAATTACATTACTCTTTTAAGTATCCATCTGATTCCTATGAATAATAATTTTTAATAATAATAAAATAGAAAAATGTAGAATAGGGTATGTTCATAGCAGTGGTTCTCGATATATAGATTATAGAAATAATAATTTTTAATAATAATAAAATAGAAAAATGTAGAATAGGATCTGTTCATAGCAGTGGTTCTCAATATATAGATTATAGAAATAATAATTTTTAATAATAATAAAATAGAAAAATATAGAATAGGATGTGTTCATAGCAGTGGTTCTCAATCTACAGATTATGATGAATTATTTTTAGAAAAATAATTACATTACCATTTCGTAGAGATAAATATGTTTTATTAATTTTTTAAATAATTTAAACAATTTTTCCATATCTTGTATGAATGTATACAAGAGAAAATTCAGAAAAAACATTGGAAGATATAATATTAAAGTTTTTTTTTTTTTTTACCTGGAGGAGCGCCGTCACCTTCCAAAAAGCCGCCGCCTAATTGCCGTTGCTCCTGCCCCGTGATAGCTATTCCACCCCCTTTGATCACGTGCCTGACCAACTAACGAGAAAAGAGCAAATAGGAGCGAATTAAGGCCGTGTCGAATTAGTTTGAAGGTCTGTTTGTTAATCGCGCGTGTTACGCCGGAGCCACGCGTTCATTTGCAAACGAGACGTAGGATAAAATTACTGGATGGAGTAGGCGAGTTCTCACGGATCAACGTTGGAAACAAAGTTTCCTTCCCTTTCCTTTCCGCAGAAACGATTTTCATTCCGCGAAAACTTTCATTTTCGGTATTTGACGTAATTAAACGTCAATTATTACTTGCACTCAGATAATTTTTCTCATTTGTAGAGAAAAGAATTACAGACAGAGAAAGAAGAGAGAGAGAAAATAATTACGTAATATAGAGAATAAACATCTCTCGTTAACAAATTGAACGCGTAACATTTTCCGATTCTTTGCAAAACGAAATCGTTTTTCTTATCGACTTCTTTGTTTTACATAATAGCACGAATATTTTACATATCATCCCCGTCACCGATCATCGTCCAATATCGCGATATAAAAGATATTTTTTTCCCGATCCTTTTCTCGCCCGGAACTGAAAATATATATTTATTTCCGTTATTCAACCGCGCCCGAATATCTCGCTTCACTCACGCGGCAAAAATACGAGGCGCCTCCCCGCAAAATAAAATAAAATTCCTCTCACCTCGTGCATTCTCTTCTTCGATCCTTTCTTATCCCCTTTATCGGCGCCCTATATATTCTATCCGATACCTATATTCCACCCGTGGACCAATAGAAACGCGGCGATAGTTTTCGAGAACGGATAACTTCGAACGGGCCGCTATCGAAATCCCGAACCGAACGATGCACGAAACACCATCGTGGGGGAAAATCGCGCGAGAAATTTACGAGACGAAATGTGGAACGACTTTCCCTGAGAAGCGCGAGAAGCGAGATCTGGAGAAGAGAGAGAGAGAGAGAGAGAGAGAGAGAGAGAGAG